AACATCAGACAACAAGCCTTTCTTGAATATTACACAGATGAAAAGTTCATCTTGATGTGCCTTTCTCGGATATTACACAGATGAAAAGCCCTTGGGGGTTAGGATGCTGCATGCTGAAGTCTTTAAAAAATCAAGGGCCGTCTTCTTCATTCTAGAGAGTTGGATCTAGCCATGCAAGTGATTTTATCCAAGAACTTAAAAATAGATTTAATTTTTACAGTTTTAGAGAAAATTAAGAAGGGAAAAAAGAACCATTTATAGGTTCGTGGACAATTCCGTTTGCATCAATGGTAAAGTTTGGTATACGAGCTCACCTCATGGATGCACGAGCTTTCCACAGGCATATATCCACAAAATAGTGCTGACACCTTTCATGGTTTTGGTGGTGGAACTAATATGTTTAGTATATTGGAAATGATGCGTGCAGGGCATCTGTCCCATTGGGGCGCCTCTTCGTGTGCTTGCAGACCAACCTAATAGACCTCCCACGTCCATCCTTTTCGTCTGCCGCTCGTCTCGTTGCTCCTCCTGCTCCGCCACCTCGCCCCGCTGCACTTGCTCCTGCTCCTGCTTCGCGTGCCCGCCCTCCTGCTCCTGCTTCGTCGCTCGCCCCGCCCGGTGATGCCAACAGGCGCCGTCAGCGCAAGGAGAAGCGTCGGGCCCTGGCGCGGAAGCCCTCTGGTCTCGCCTCCTACTACGGCTGCAGCGCCCCGATGCAGGCCATGGAGGAGGTTGCACCGGGATACGATGTATGTTGCAAGTGTACATTTCAAATGTTTCAGATATTTTAGATTTATACGTTGTAAGTGTTTTATGCAGATGTTGCAAAAGTAGATCGGGATGTTGCATATGTTGCAATGGTTGTTTACGTATGTTGCAAACATCTGTCCCCAATGTTAATTTCATATGTTTTTTTCAGACATATTTTGCAAGTGTGTTTATCTGAATGTTGCATATGTTTCACACATATGTTGCAAGCGTTTTATTTGGATGTTGCGTATGTTTGTAACGTTTTCAAGTGTTTTTGCAAATATTTTAGACACATGTTTCAAGTGTTTCATATGTCTTTAGACGTATGTTGCAAGTGTTGTATCCGGATGTTTCAAAAGTAGATTAGGTGTTGCATATGGGATGCGCGTGGGGGAGAGGGTGCGAGCAGTCCCTGTGCATAGTCCAGCGGTGTGTGCGACGTCCGGGCGGCGCGGGCCTCACGTGGGCACGTGAAACGCCGAGTGTGGAGTGCAGGCACGCATGCGGGAAACTGAGTGCAGCGCATGTGTTCAGACGTCCGAGCGCTAGCACTATCGTTAATATATAGCTTTGCGGGAGCCAAAACCAAAATTGTTTTTCGGAAATGCTACGTGCAAGGTGTCCGTCCGTCCAGACTCCCCTTCCTGGACCTGCGGCCAGCCTAATTGATCTCTACTCTACGCCCGCTCGTTTTTTATTACGTGTCGCTTCTGTTGCATAGGTTGAATAAGGAAATAAGAAGGAGATGAGAGACATGCTCCGCTCTGCTCCACCGTTGAATGGCCACCCTGCCTGCTCCATTGCCCGCCCCTCTGCTCCTGCTCTACGGTCACCCCGCCTACTCCTTCTCCTGTCGCGCCGCCTCGCTGCTCCTGCTCTGCGACCCGCTCCGCCTGACGGCGAGGGCACCGCCACGCCCACGCGTGGCGACCTCTTCTTCGTTCGCCAGCTAGCCACTAAGGCCGCTGCATAAGGAGAAGCGTCGGGTCCTGGTGCGGAAGACCTCCGACCTCGCCTCCTGCTACGGCTGCGGCATCCCGATGCAGATGGTAGAGGAGGCCGCACCGGGATACGATTCATATGTTGCAAGCGTATATTTTAAATATTTTAGATGTTTTAGAGCTATGTTGCAAGTGTTTCTAAGTATATTGCAAAAGTAGATCGAGATGTTGCATATGTTGTAATGGTTGTACACTGTTGCATATGTTTTGCAATGGTTAGTGTTTTAAGATGTTTTTGTAAATGTTTCAGACGTATGTTGCAAGTGTTTTAGCTGTTTCTACCATATGTTGCATGTGTTTTATCTGGATGTTGCAAAAGTATATTGGGATGTTGCACACGTTGCAATTATACACGTATGACGTATGTTTCAGCGTGTTCCCAAATGTTTCGGTTGTTTCAAACGTATGTTGCAATTGTTTATCTGGCTATACACATATGTTGCAATGGCTATACATATATGTTGCAATCATATGTTATAAATGTTTCATTTGTTTCAAACGTACGTTGTACCAAGTTCTTCATATTACAAGTGTTTCATGAGGAGACTCGGGAAGCGTGCACAGGTGGAGACGGTCCCTTTCTGCAACGAGGCTAATTAGCGAACGTTCATCACATTTTAATCAAGTGAACAATATTCAGACATGGCAAACTCTCTTGTTTTAGAAAAAAATCAATCCCACCTATGTCTTTTTTGAATGGCTGATGTGTTCAGCAGGACGAGACGCACCCCTCTCCTGCTCCCTTTTGCAGGCAGATGACGTAATACTTAAAAAAACAGAATATTTATTTCAAAATGATATAACTTTCGAATGGAATATTCATTTTTAATTCCGTCTGCACTGGTGTATTGTACTCGATGGGATGAACAAAACTAGACTCCACTTGCATATATTTCAAAAAAAATTCTAGCAAAATTTATGCGTAGTAACTTATAATATATAACTTATGCGGAAAACTCGAAAGTAAAAGTTGAAAACAAAACCTAACCATATAATTTACTTAAACTATTTTCAATATACAAGTTAATAACTGCAAGCTATGTACAAATGTAATAAACCAAATAGCTTATGTGCAAAAAGTTAGATATAAAAGTTAAAAGCTACAAGTTAATAACTACAAGTTATGTACAGAAAGTTAGACATAAAAGTTACATGTAGAAAATTAGACATAAAAGTTATACGCAGAAAGTTAATGACTACAAGTGATGTGGCAAAATTTACACATAAAAGTTAGACAAAAACATTACAACTTTATACAGAAACTTTAACATAATAACTACAATATACAAGTTGCATGCATATAATTTAATAAATCAAGTTCAATATAAGCAAATACTAGAACAGTTATAAGCTATACGTTATATGTTATAAGTTAATATACATGAATTGCTACTAAAAAAATTTCTTCGAAACATGAGGTCTAGTTTTGTTCGTCTTGTTGCGTAAAATATACTGGTGCAGACGGAATTAAAAATGGATACATCATTCAGAAGTTATAGCATTTTAAAATAAATATTTTCTTTTTTTGGATGACGTCAGCGGCTATGGAAAAGCGTGATGGGAGAGGGAGGTGCAGTCCGATCGTTCCTTACATCTAAATCTGAGTGAACGATCATCCGAATGAAATTGGGTCCCTTGCGGCCGTAGGCAGTGACCACGTGTGCGCGGGAACAGGGGTGGACGCTGGCTGTCCCTACGGAGTGGCGTGGGTGCACAGCAGCACGCGCGAGCGAGCGAGCAGGCAGGCGGGCGAGCAGCGCAGTGCAGGCAGCTTGGCGTTAGGCTAGTAGCCGTGGCATCTGTCCCCTAGCGTCCGGATCGGACGTCCAACCACACCGATTAAATCACTCTTCAGAGCATCTCAAAAGCGTCCTATATCCTTTCTCTATGTTTTTTTTTAGAAAAAAGAGAGAAAAACTTATCTCCAAAGCACCTCATATCTCTTTCTCATTTTTTAGCACTTGGCAAACCGGTCTCCTCCACGGATAAAAATGCGTGCATCCAAGTCGCGTGGATCCGGATTTACCCGTGCCATCGCGGTCTCCATCGTTGGCGCGATATTTTTTTTTTGCCGCGACTCTCCACGCTGACGCACGCCGGCCGTCGAGGGGAGAAGTGTCGCCGCCGCAGATCAGGGACAAGGTACGTACTATCTACTGCTCGATCATTGCCAGCGTATGGTGATTGGCCGGTCGTTGGGCTTCCTGCCCCCACCGCCGCCGGCTGCTCGATCTCTGCCGCCGGGATTTGCATGTACATATCACGTACGTGGCCGGCTGTTGCATTTCTGCCGCCGGGATTTGCATGTACATATTGCGTACATGGTCCTGTGCTGCTGGGCGTCTCCTGCTGGGCGGCTGGTACTGCTGCTTGCCGGCCGGTACTGGTACTGCTAACTGCTGCTTGCCGGCTGACGCTGCTGCTTCCTGGTGGCCGCCTGCTCAACGAGGCCACTAGCCTGGCTTGCGACGGCAGACGATCGGGGGTTGCGACCTCGCGACCGGAAAAAAAACGCGCAGGGAAAAAAGGTGTGGTACTAAGATTTTGATTTCTCGAAAGTTAAATAAGGTGTACTATGGGAGATGGTCTTTTTTTTCTTTTCTTCCAATACCCTTTTATGAGTTGGAAAACATAGAGTTTTTGAGAGAAAAAATAGAATACTCGTTCTTATTAGTCAGTACAGTACCGCGACCAAACCTCGAAACAAGTATGGTTAGGACTTTCTGGGATAAACAAATCACAAAACATCCGTCACTCTCGCTTTGACGCGCCGCACGCACGGCATGTACGACGCACGCACCCAGCTGCAGCTGCACGGCACCGTGCGATCAAGCCAAGTTGTCTCGTCGACAAAATGACAAAATCGAGCGGGCTGTGGTGGGGGGCCTGTGGCGCCGATCCAGCTTCCTCAATTCCGGGTGCCAGGGACGCTTGTTTTCCCAAACCCAGCGGCCGTGACAGCGTATCCTTGCAGCATCCAACAGGCACTGTGCGGGTATTCATGGCGCGCCGCCGCTCACCATCGAAATAAAACCACGCGCGGCCCACAGTCTGCAGTGTTTGTGTTGTTCCATGCATAAATGTCCCGGCTCCGTCTCCCCTTCCCAGCCATCGGCCATCGCCGTAAAATTCCAACCTGCTGCCACTGCTCCACTAGACCATCGATCTGCAATTCTGCACGTACAAGCTATAGCACACCACCACTTCCACCGCCAGTTCTTGTTGTTGGACTGTCCGTTCCACTAGCTCATGGCTTCCATCGTGCTGCTGCTGTCGGAGCTGCTGGGCGGGGAGAGCGCCAGCGTGCTGGCGGCCGAGCGCTACATGGGCGGACACCGGAGCCTGGGGGAGTTCCGGCCGGCCGTCACGGAGGCGCCGGCCAAACAGGGCCAACGCCTGGTGGAGGACCAGCGCGCGGCCGCCGCCGGGACAGAGCGGGTGCGGGAGGAGGACAAGAAGAAGAGGGAGGAGGAGGATCCGTTCGAGGACCTCGCGGTGTCCAGGATCGCGGTCGACATCATATTAGCCAGAGTCGTTTGCCCACCCAGACTTTAATTTGGGCTACTCCTAATTGTTTCTTGCTCTGTTCGTTTGCGTAACGCACACATGCTCCTCTAGTTGCTTCCGGTTCTTTCTATTTATTACATTATTACAACATGTAAATATGTGTAAGGAAGAAAACACGGATTGCTGAATTGTGGTTGCTGCTGTGCATAATCTTGTTTACAATTATGTATAATATGTGTAAGGAAGAAAACATGTAAATATGTCAATTTTCCCCTAACATGGTTGCTGCTGTGCATAATCTTGTTTACAATAATGTATACAAGCTGACACGGTGGACTGGTGGAGCACCAGAATCAGACCTCATTTCCAATCGATCTTGCTGTAGCTGATTGATATCAATGCGCTGTTGCCACTGTCGGCCGTGCGATGCCCACCGGCTACACCAAACGCGCGCGCTTAGGAATACAGTAGGTATGATTTTGGTCGTGATGCGCTCGCGTTCTCGATCCGATCCACGGCGGTGCCTTGCTCTGCAGATAGCCTTGCAGTTGCAGCTTGCAAATGCGCTAGTCAGCTAGCATGTTTCCCATTTCCATCCTGCGCAGCGGCGGCGGACCAGTGGGAAAAGGCATAAACCAGGGGATTCGCGAGCCGCAAACCCGCCCACAGGAGGAGGAACCGGAACCGGGCCAGGCTACTGTGGGCTGAGATCCGCTGATTTCCTTCTGCTTCTGCACGAACGAACGGGTTTATCATGCGGTACTCGGCGGATCAAGGCCGCCGGGCCAGGGCTAAGGACGTGGTCTGATTCTTCTAGATTGCCGTTAACAGCCTGTTCGGGAGGCCGTATCGTATCGTGGATTATTTATTGCGGCTGGTTTGATGTGAGAAAAAACACTGTTCCTGACTGAAAATTTACGATCGTTTACGAGCAAGCGAACAGGCTTTCCAAGGGACCTTCCGTTTTTGTTTTTTTCTCTCGCAGCAGGAGGATGAATGAAGACTAAAGAGAGTCGAAAATGTACCCGTAAGCTTTGCTTAAAAATTATTAGGCCATCTCTTTGTTTTTTTTTCCTTTCAACAGAAATCGCGGTAAATCTTTACCGCCACACTTCGACAGAAATTCTACGTATAATACTCTACCAAAACACCATTGATGACGTAGGCACCGAGGAGGAAGACGGCTGGTACGCACCAAACGTCGGGTTGCAAAACAACGACAGACAGATTGATAAATTCCAAACCGAAATCGACAACCAAAGAACCAAACGAATCTGCCCCAACCTCTCTTCCGTTCGGACCAGCTAGGGAGAAAACAGACAGACGTCAGGCACCACGTACAGACCGGCCCGACGTGACGACCACCCCAGCTGCAGCTGCACGTACGGCGCCGGGGCCGGGCCAGGTTGACTACGTACGCTGCCGGCCGGCCGCAGCCAGAGAGGTCCCTCCAGCTGAAACTGGAAATGCGCGAAGCCATCCCACTGCGTGCAGCGCGCAACGGCACGCATACACATGACACTGGGAAAAAAATAATCAAGAACCGAGAACAGAACCGAAATAATCGGAACCGAAACCGAATTAACCGAAACCGAAAATTTCGGTTCCTAGTTCGGTTCCCAATTCTCAGGAACCAAAATTTATCAGGTTAATTCGGTTCTGGCTGTCGGTTAACCGAAAGAGCCGAACTTTGTATAAAGGCCCAAAAGCCCAGTGTATTTCAGCCTATGTTTGTAACCCTAGGTATATAAGAAGAAGTGAATTCCCCACCCCGATAGCCGGCGCACCTGCTCGGTTGCTCCCAAGCTGCATCGCTCCTGGCCTCCTGCTCCCGCGGTGCTCCTGCTCCTTGGCCCGACCCGCGACGCTCCTCCTCCTTCCCCACCTCGATAGCCGGCGCAGCGGGCCGGCCCTGCCTCCTTCCCTACCCCACCCGCGCCGTAGCAAGCAGGGCGAGGCGAACTGCGGGGCGGCGAGCAGGGTGAGGCGAAGCGCGGTGGCGAGCAGCGCGAGGCACAGCGACGTGTGGGGCATGTGCGATTCTGTGTGGTCTTTTTCTCTTTGGTAGCACCTCGTTAGTTCGGTCGGAATCGAAACCGAACCGAATTAACCGAAACCTAATTTGGTCGGTTTCTGGATTTCAAAAGAACCGATCGGTTCTGATTTCTTGAGAAACCGAATTTGTCAAGAAACCGAGGAACCGACCTGATCGGTTTCGGTTAACCTAATACCCACAGCGACATACACACACGTATATAAATTCTCCCGCCTCCCCATCCCATTCTCCCTCCGTCGTGCATGGCAACACGCACAACCACCAGTTGCGCCCGTTCTAGTGCCTGTCTCTTGCAGTCTTGCTCTGTTCCGCTTACTGCGTGTGTGAGTGTGGTCCATCGGGGGCTAGCTTAGCTGCTCCTCGTCTCATGGCGTCCATCGTGCTGCTGCTGTCGGAGCTACTAGGCGGGGAGAGCGCCAGCGTGCTGGCGGCCGAACGCTACATGGGCGGCCATCAGACCCTGCGGGAGCTCCGCCCCGCCGTGACCGGGCCGCAGGCCCGGCCAACAAGCAGGACGAACAACGTCCGGAGGCCGCCGGCACCGCACGGTGCGAGTGCCAGGAGACGAGGAATGAGGAGTCGTTCGAGGATCTCGAGGTGTCCAGGGTAGCGGTCGACCTCATGTGGCCATGAGATCATCAGCTACTGACTTCATCGTGTCATCTGTGGTCTGTGCTTCCTTTCCTGTGTGGGTTGCGCAACACAGATCTTGCTCTCTGTTGCTTTCTGATTCTTTCTATTCAACGTCCATGTAAGTGGTATGTAAGGCTTCCCGGTGAATCTGAGTACTAGCAAGTTTTTAGGGATGATCAAGCCAGAATGTCTTCATCAAAGTTTTTATTTACCGTGCCACCACAGCACCTCCACCCTGGGCTCCTCTCATCACAGGATCACACCCAGGGCCACCTCATATACCATTTACCCACCACAGGTATTCATTCTAGGGGTGCCCAGGTAGCACCCCACGTCAAGACTTGTCCCAGACTCGTCGTATACTCCAACTTGGTCGACACAACCCTCACCCTCTATGCATCCAAGTCACACACGCAGCACTCTCTCCATAGTTCATATAACACCAGTTTCCACCACGCATCAATATAGTGCAAGCGTAGTAGAAGTAATAAGCAATGAAATATAATAGCAAGCGTATGACTAGCCTAACAACAGGATGAGCAAAGGTAAATGTATCTATTTATTTATGCCATGCATGTACGTAAGACAACAGAAAAAGTATATATAACTCCCAACGTTTGGGTATTCTACCCCTTAAACATCTTCAAACCGTCTATTTAACCTCTTGAGGTGGTTTTAGACCCTGGTTTTGCTGACGTGGCTATCTCTGTCGGAACTAATTTCTTTGGGTACAGTCTCTATCGACACGTCCGTGTATACATACCACCTGACGCCTGTACACCGAAGAGGTCCCACGGCTGCTTTCGTATCTCTTCTGTAGCTCGTCTGTAGCGGCCTGATTGGCCCCTCAGAATCAACAACTGCCTTTGACACGGCTCGCCTAGATCAGAGGTCGTTGCAGCCGTGGATACGATACATATGGGATATGAGAATACGATACGTATGTTGCTCACATACGGATACGAGTATCAGATATGATACATATCAGATACGAGGATACACTATTTTTCAAAAAAATAATGACACGGAGATATGGCTAGTGGCTCCGTTCGCTGGTCTGAAACTTGGTTGAAACTGACTGGTTGTTGTGAGAGAGAAACACTGTAGCGGCTGGTTGATGAATAGTATTTTGTGAGGAAGAGCAGCCGACTGGTCTGAAAAAACCAGACCAGCGAACGCAGCCAGTATGTTTTAATATATTTTTTATAGTAACTAAATAACAAACCAATAGCAAGTTTAGTGCGTCCAAAATATATATTTATTATTAAGGGGTTCTATTTAAGTTACAGAACTCGTATACAAAAGATATCGGAAACAAATCGAGAGATGCACATCATGTATATTAATAGACAACAAACATGCTAATTCGTATGAAAGATTTAATACAAATTTTCAACCTTATTGATAGCATGCTGCTTAGCAGTCTTATGGTCTTAGACCATGGTCTTGTAATGGTTCAGTTTGGTTGTACCCATTCGATTATGAATGTGGGAGACCGGAATACATTTGTTCCTTTATTAAAAAAAAACCTTATTGATAGCATTGTAAAGACAAATGTGGCCAACGCATACGGGCATGGCCCTCCACAATGTACTGGTGAAGCCAGAAAATAAGTGGACCCACTTAGTAAAAGCGGCAATGTGCAAAGAAACAGAGGATCAATGCTATCTTGAGACCTAGGACTCACATTGCAATAAAATTAAGCTGTTCGGCTGATGATTTTTGTGGCTGATAAGTTGGCTCATGCTATTTTGTTGTGAGAGAAAAACACTATACCATGCTGATACGCTAGGCTGATAAGTTCTTGAAGCGAATCTGTTTCATTGATGCTGGGACTTCATTGACCAACTAGTGGTACAATAGATTATTTTAAGAAAGTCGAAGCGGGGCAAGAAGGTTCACCGCTCCTGGTTTCTTTAGCATCACTTGTCAAAGTGTTACAAGTGGTGCTTATTTGCTCTCCCTCCTTTGAAAGCATCATTAAGGAGCACATTGTGGAGGGCCTTAGGTCCTGATTGACTGATGTGATGTCATCCATAGGCTCCATGCCTTCATGATCACACTCCCGCCGCGGAACCCAGATGATTCAACGATGTCTGGACATGGGCACCAAGTGTGTCAGGTCGTGAGGAGAGAGCTCGTGGCGGCACCATGAACCAGGCCCGTCCCGTGGAACTCCCCGTCGAGAAGAACTCGCCGCCATCGTCGACTTCATTAGACAAACTGCCGGCGGCGGCGGTGGCACAACAGCAATCAGCAGTTGGGGCGCAACAGCAGCTCTGGGTACACGATGGCGTAGACGAGGACGAAGAGGATGAGGCGGCAGCGGGGCTGACCTGAGCTGCCGGTTCGGCCACCT